TATTACTATTACTATTATTATTATTATTATTATTTTATTATTATTATTATTATTATTATTATTATTATTATTATTATTATTATTATTATTATTATTACTATTAGTATTACTATTACTATTATTGTTATTAATATTATTATTATTATTATTGTTATTGTTATTATTATTATTGTTATTACTATTATTACTATTATTACTATTATTACTATTATTGCTATTATTACTACTATTATTATTATTATTATTATTATTTTATTTTTATTTTATTTTTTTTGGTAACTAATTTTACTAATTACCGAGTCCAAACAATATAAAACAAGCAGCTATCACATCATGCTTAACGAAACTAAACAACACTTTAACACCTACACTACTAACTATAACTCAAATCTTCCTATGAATAATAACATTTTTAATACTAGTAGAAGATCTAGCAATAATTACATAGGGTATCTTCTTAACTACTTTATCTATCAAGCAACTCTTGTCTTAAAAAATTCGCTTGTTTCTCTCATTCCACAAAGCATAAACTCCTCCAGCAAGAATCATCTTGAAAAGTTGTGCTCTTGTAGACTTCCCTTTCCCATTTGAATGCTCCAATGTATAAATTGTGCCCATGTCCTTTGCCTGTTATTGTGATTGCCAATCCATTGTAGCAGTCTCTCCTTAACCTCTCCAGCATAGTGACATTGAAGGAACATATGATCTAGACTTTCATCCACATTTTTACACAGAACACATGTTTTATCAAGTGTAATTCCCCATTTAGCAAGTCTATCCACTGTTGCTAGCTTCCTATTCAACAAAATCCATAGTGTAAAGGTAGCTTTTGGCCTGGCTGCATTTTGAAACATTATACATCTCCATTCAGGCTTAGTTTTCTCCCCTCTCAGATAACCATAGATTTGTTTGATCATCCCTTTTCCCTTCTTTGGTTGAATCTGATCAACTGTTTGTTTAGCATTCATTATTTTCCTGATCATCCAACTTGCTTGATCTCTCTTCTGCCATTCATTCTGCTCTTTTAAATAATATGCATGAATCCATTTGATCCAAAGCTTGTCTTTTTTTTGCTAAGATCCAACAAAGCTTGGCTATTGCTGCTATTCCACACTTGCATGTTTATCAGCCCCATACCTCCTTCATTTTTCGGACTGCAAACTCTCTCCCATGCTATTAGAGCTTTCTTATTGGCATGCCCTACTCCTAACCATAGATAACTTCTACACAAACTCTTAATTAACTTGATTATCTTAGCTGGAAAGATGAATAATTGAGCCCAATAAGATTGAAAACCAAATAATATTGTATGAACAAGTTGAGTTCTACCTGCATAAGATAGTTTCTTAGCTGTCCAAGAGTTGATTCTTGCCATTATTTTCTCAATGAGAGGATACCATTGCATCACTGACATCTTCTTGGTTGATAATGGCACTCCCAAATATTTGAAAGGAAGTTCCTCCATGTTATATCCTAGTTGTTGAAAAATTTGTTGCTTCACTTCCATCTGAACCCCTCCACAGTATATTGAGCTTTTATTTAGATTAGCTTGTAACCCAAAGGCTTGAGAAAATTGAGAGAAACACAGTTGGATAGCTTTAACAGATTCCAGATCTCCTCTAGCAAACAATAATAGATCATCTACAAAACATAAGTGAGTGATATCAAGTTTAGAGCACCTAGGATGATACTTGAATTGTTTATCATCATTAAGCCCCTTAAGAAGCCTACTAAGATACTCCATAGCTATAGAAAACAAGAAAGGAGACATTGGATATCCTTGTCTCAATCCTTTAGCTGCTTCAAAACTTTGAGAAATCTGTCCATTAACTACTATGGAGTAGTTCACTGTTTTGACACATTTCATTACCCATTGCACAAACATCTCTGGAAAGCCTAGACCAAACATTACATGCTCCAAATAATCCTATTCCACTGAATCATAAGCTTTCTGTAGATCAATCTTCAACATGCTTCTAGGAGAAATATGCTTCCTAGTATAGGCTTTAACCAGCTCATGAGCAAGCACAATATTATCAACAATTTTCCTTCCTGGAATAAACCTTGCTTGGCTATCACAAATGATACTCTGAATCACACCATGTAATCTGTTAGTTAACACTTTGGAGATGATCTTATACAACACAGTACAACCAGCTATTGGCCTGTATTGTTTCACAGTTTTAGGATTCTAAGCTTTTGGTATGAGAGACACTAGAGTGCAATTGAATGATTTATGTAGCTTGCCTGTTGTGAAAAAGCTCTTAACAACCTCAATGATATCTCCTTTAATGATCTGCCAAGTACGTTAAAAAAGAAAGCATTGTAACCATCTGTACCTGGAGCCTTATCATTTCCTATGGATTTCAAACCATCATAAATCTCTTGTTCAGTTACTAAAGTACACAATTGTAATCTCTGTTGCTTTGTCAAGGTAGGCCCTCTTTTCATCACCTGAGCATTAATGGCTGGTATCTTGCCTGCTGAAGTTCCCATAAGACTCTTATAAAACATCACAAACTCATCTTGATTTTCCTGTGGATCATACAACATCTAACCCTTCAAGGACATAATACTTCTTATTTGTTTCTTTTGAGTTCTCTCCTTAATAACTGAGTTGAAAAACTTATTATTTGCATACCCTAATTGTATCCATCTTATCCTTGACTTCTGCCTCAAAGCACTTTCTTATATCATTGATCATTTTTCAAGTTTAATCAGCAACTCTTTTTCCTGCACAATTAACTCATTAGTAATTTGTTCATTTAGCTGATCTTGAACTTTTGCAATCTCTAATTTAGTCATCTCAATCTGTTTCCCAATATACTTTAACTCTTTTCTATTCAACTGTTTTAAAGCATGCTGAAGATCCTTCAACTTAAACCACACCTGCTTCATTATGCTATGTCCATACTCTTTTTTCCAAATAGCTTCCACCATTTCCATAAAGCCCTCATGTTCAGTCCATACATTGAAAAATTTAAAACTAACTTTCCCATGCTGGTGAGTTTTTTGAAGTAAGATCATCATAGAGCTATGATCAGATATGCTTGGATTCTCATATTCCACATTAACATGTCCCCATTTGTCCATTCATTCATCATTTCCAAATGCTCTATCAATTCTACTAGATATTCTATCCCTCCCACATTGTTTATTAGTCCAAGTATAGTAGTTACCTGTCCACTGCAGTTCATTAACCCCCATATCTCTCACAAAATCACCAAAATCTTTTATCTCATTATTAGTAAAAGGAACTCTATATAACCTATCCTTAGTAGAAAGAATAGCATTAAAATCTCCTACTATGAGCCAAGGTTGTGAAATACCTTTTGACATTGCATTCATTTCTTGCCACAGACTTTTCCTTTGTTCAACTGTATTAACACCATAAACCACAGTCAATATAAACTGATAGCCTTTACTTCTTTCATTAACCTGACAATACAACATTTGAGTTTAGCTATTGATCCTCTTGATCTCATACCAGTTATCATCCCATATCAACCAAATTCTTCCATTAGGACTATCAGAATAGTTATGTAGTATCTGCCACCCTGGTGCTATCCCTTTGAGAATTGAGTTCACACTTTTGTCTTTTAACTCTTGTTTCAAGTAATCCTGCCAAAGTTACTTTATTCTTCTGTAAAAGGAGCTTAATCTCCTTTTACTTATACCTTTTATTCATACAGCTCACATTCCAGAACAACCACTTCATCAACATGTCTTTGATGCTCCACCTCTATCAATATATAGCGAAGCCATTTTGTTATGCATAAGACTCTCAAAGCCATTCCTTGTTGGTATAGCTTTTAATATAGGAAAGTTATCCAAACTCAATTCCAGTTGTCTATCAACATAAGCCTGCTCACAATTGTTCCTTGGTGTTTGTTGATCTGGTTTGTTTCCTATCTCCTATTCTTCCTCCTGCTTATTCTTCTATGGCTTTAGATTGTTCTCTTGTCTTTGTTCATCCATATTCTCTTGCTCAGTTTTTTGTGAAATTGGACCTTTATACTGCCAAGTTTGAGTTACTTTCTTCCATGGCCTTCTTCTCTTTGGCATTTCCTCTTTTAGTTCAGGCTCCACTTGACATAGATGCCCTATCTTCTGGCACTTATCACAGTATTGAGGTCTCCATTCTAACACTACATCTTGCATAAATGTCATCCCTGTAGGATCCACTACTGCTATCTTCTGAGGTATAACTTTTGTAACATTAACTTCAACAAGCATTCTAGCATATGAGATCCTTGTTTGCTTGGTGGTACATTCATCAGCAAAAAGAGGAACTCCAATAGCACTTGCAATCCTACTCAAAGATCCCACTCCCCAACAGTTAAAAGGCAATTTTGGAAAATTCACCCATAAAGGAATTTCTGTTAGAAACTCATTCCCAAAATAAAACTCAGGACACCATTGTTTCAGGATGATTGGTCGATTGTTGATAGTATATGGCCTAGAGAACAAAATCTCATTCATGTCACTTATCTTCTGGAACTTGATTAAATAGTATCCATCCTCATGAAGAAACACTTCAGGCTTACTCACACTTGACCGTTCATCATTATGTATCTCTTCATAGTATTGTACCCAGGACATTCTCCAATCACATATGCAATGAGAGCACACTTCCATTTCTATTCTTCCTCTTGCACCTCTTTCTCTTCCAACTGCACCATCATTTGTCCATTAACTACCTGTGGAGGAAAATAGGATAGTTGCATTCCATTACTTGCTACACGATTGTATTTAAACATATTAACCCATGGTTCATTTGCCTCCTTCTTTTGTTCTTGTTCAGTACCAGCATTTCTATTTCCATTTTCTCCTTTTAGCTTCTCCTCTGAACTCCCTGTTACTGTTCCATTGCCATCAGCTTTGTTTTCGTCTTCAAACCCTTCCGTATCTGAGTTCCCAAGAACTTCCTCATTAGTTCTTCGTGAATCTAAGCTCAATCTCCTTGCTACTTTAGTGCTTCTAGCTACCTCAGTTTCACAACTTGCTTCCCCTTGTTGAGCTTGTTCCTGCTCCTGTAACCCTAATGCTTCCACACAAGTTCCTATTGAGCTACCATCGTTCATGATTGGTGTTTTCCGACCTCTTCCTCGTCCTCTACCCCTTCCCCTCGCCGTTGTCACCGTCCAGCTCACGTTAAGCTAACGTGCGCTGAGAGCGTTTGGAGAAGAAGTTTTTTTCCTTATTTATTATTATTATTATTATTATCATTATTATTATTATTATTATTAATGTTATTATTATTGTTATTATTATCGTCGTCGTCGTCATCATCATCATCATCATCATCATCATCATCATCGTCATCATCATCGTCGTCGTCGTCGTCGTCATCGTCGTCGTCGTCATCGTCGTCGTCGTCGTCGTCCTCATCGTCATCATCATCGTCATTGTCATCATCGTCGTCGTTGTCGTCATCATCGTCGTCGTCATCGTCATCGTCGTCGTTGTCATCATCATCATCGTCATCATCGTCGTCATCGTCGTCGTCATCATCATCATCATCGTCGTCGTCGTCGTCGTCG